TAGACAGACAGACAGACAGACAGACAGACAGACAGATAGATAGATAGATAGATAGATAGATAGAACAAATGGATGATAGATAGACAGACTGATAAATAGACAGATAAATAGAACAAATGAACGAACGAACGAATGATAGATAGACAGACAGACAGACAGACAGACAGATAGATAGTTAGACAGGCAGACAGACAGACAGACAGATAGATAGATAGATAGATAGATAGATAGATAGATCGTTCTCTCTTCTCTCTTCCCAATCAATTTCGTTTTCCTGTCAATAATAAAGTGGCACAAGCAGAAAAGGACGAATCTCTCATGTGTTTTTTCTCCATGTAGTTACAGTAGAGCGAATAATAATCTGGTTGGGATGAGGTTAAGAATGGACATGTGCTAAATGTCAGCCGTGTTTGTTTATGTTTGTGGCGTCAGAATAATCTAATCAGTGTCCTTCTCTCTGTTTCTCAGCGCCACCTCCACCTTCTGGATGGCTAACCCCAATAACAATCTCATCAACTGTGCTGCGGCCGGATCCGAGGTTAGTCTCGTTACCACAGCGATGCCTCTGAATAATGGTGCCACGGTATCTCAGTGGCTCCTTTCCACCTACCATGCTTATTTGTGATGGATCATACAGCGGCGTGTGTTGCTTAGCCGCGGATATTTTTATATACCGCTGTGAGCTCATTCTCAATGCGTTTTGTGTCATTAGGACGCCCATTAGCACTGTCTCCGTGCACATGTAATATCTGTGTGTGTGTGTGTGTGTGTGTGTGTGGTCTTGCAGGAAACAGGATTCTGGTTCATTTTCCACCACGTCCCCACCGGTCCATCAGAGGGCATGTATTCCCCCGGCAAGTCCGAACATACACCCATGGGGCTGTTCATTAATAACAGAGCTCATTCCAATTACAGGGTGAGTGTGTGTGTGTGTGTCGTCGTGTCGTCGTGAATGAAAGTGGGCCGGAGATATAGGTGCCGCTAGCACCGCTCTTTGTATACACCATTAAAAGGCCGATGCTTGAGATTGATGAGCTTGTTGTTCAAAAAGAGGAAGCGGGCGAACGCTTTCTCTCGCCCTCCTGCTGTAATCTATGGCGTCATTCTCAGTGCGGCCACCGTAATTGAAATATAACTCATTTTTAGCTGCTAGCTACTTAGCCCTTTAATAAAACATGATTTAAGGGCTGGGGAATCCAGGATTGGTGTCTTTGTGCTGAAATACAGTACCATCCACAGTACAGTGCAACTTATCTTTATGACACCAAGCTTTTACAGTGAGGAAAACTGAGATGCTTTTTGCATGCAAGCTGGTGTTTTCAAAAGTTTTGTTTAGAAAAAAAGATTGTTCAAAATCTGTAAGAATTTTTAATGTTTTTGAAAAAGTCTCTCCTGCTCACCAAAGCTGATCAAAAATACAGTAAAATTGTGAAATAATATTACATTTTTAAATAACTGTTTTCTATTTGAATCAATTTTAAAATGTAATTTATTCCTGTGAATTTTCAGCATCATTACTCCAGTCTTCAGTGTCACATGATCCTTCAGAAATCATTCTAATATGCTGATTTGCTGCTCAAGAAATATTCATTTTCAATGTTGATTAAGCAGTTGTGCTGCTTAATATTTTTGTGGAAAATGTGATATATTTTTTCGGGATTATCTAATGAACACGAAGTTCAAAACCGCAGCATTAACTTTAAGTATACTAATCTTTTGCAACATTATAAATATCCTTACTGTCACTTTTAAACAGCTACAGCTACATATGTGTAATTGTGATTGTATTTCTTGAAGTTTTCTTTTTCATTTTAAATGGTTCTACAGTGTGATAAATTAATTTATTCTCTTAATATATTCTCTTAATTAATATGAGCTTATAAAATCTAAATAATACTTATAGAAGAGTAAGCAGAATGCTGTATATGTTAATATTTTAATTGGGATGTAGCATGACACTCATGTCATCTGCCCTGTTATGTTGAAATAAAGCACTGATGAACGAGGTCTAGTTTTTCATGTTTTGATGTTTATGTTTTATGGTAGGCGGGGATGATCCTCGATCATGGAGTAAAGACGACTGAGGCTAATGCGAAGGACAAGAGACCCTACCTCTCCCTCATAGGAGCGAGGTTAGCATTTGCAGTTCCTGATCCTGCTCCGAAATGACAAAACTCACAAAGTAGTGCATATGTGACCCTGGAGCACAAAACCAGTCTTAAGTGTAAATTTTTCAAAATTGAGATTTATACATCATCTGAAAGCTGAATAAATAAGCTTTCCATGTTGTTAGGATAGGACAATATTTGGCTGAGATACAACTATTTGAATATCTGGAATCTGAGGGTGCAATAAAATCGAAATATTGAGAAAATCGCCTTTAAAGTTGTCCAAATGTCTTCAATGAACATGATCTTTACTTAATATCCTAATGATTTTTGGCATAAAAGAAAAATCTATAATTTTGACCCATGCAATGTATTTTTGGCTATTGCTACAAATATACCCCAGCGACGTAAGACTGGTTTTGTGCTCCAGGGTCACATATGACTTGTGCTATATACAGTAGTCAACATTTGTTGCAAGTGGATCAAAACCTTTCGTCAAAGTTGTCCTAAAACCAAAACAATACCCGTTCCACTTCAAACGTTGACTACTATAATTGAAGTCTTCTGAAGACAATATACTACAACTTTGGCAACCACAAAGATCATGCTGCTAGTTAACCAGCAGCACACCAGCTTAGTTAATAACATCACTGTGCTGATCCTCTGAACCAGCCTGGACCATTCTGGTCTTTTCAGCAGGGACAATAAACTAAACAGTTTATCCAATTAATTTGCATTCATCCTGTGCCTTTCTTTGGCAGGTACGGCCCACACCAGGATGCAGACCCCTTCAAACCACGAGTCCCTGCTCTAGTTCACCATTTTGTGGCCTACAAGAACCAGGACCATGGTGCATGGCTGAGAGGAGGAGATGTTTGGCTGGACGATTGCCAGTAAGCTATTTTATTTTATTTTATTTTATTTTATTTTATTTTATTTTATTTTATTTTATTTTATTTTATTTTATTTTATTTTATTTTATTTTATTTTATTTTCCTACCCAGATGGGACATTTATTCTTAAATTTTCCACTGGTATTTATGCCATTGTGTGACATTTATTTTATTTTATTTTATTTTATTTTTATCCAGATAAAAGTTTATTATCTTGTTTAACATGAGCATTTGTTTTTGTATGATGAATCTGAATTATCACTGTAGCTCAACATGTATAAAATATCACTTACAAAATGCAACGTCCACTGAAGGGCTTCATTACAATTGATGATTTAAATGCACTGCATTTTTAAAATAAAAGTTATATGCTTGTGAAGGTTTTAACAGAGCTTCAGTGAAATAGCTACAGCTGGCAAATAAATTCTCATTCTGTTGTGCGTCTCTGGCACAGATTTATGACTTCAATCATACATGTGAGCCAGTTGTGATTGTCTGCGCTCTAGAATCTGTTGAGCGTTATTGTGGTGTGCATGGCATGCGGTCAGCATTGACATGTTCCTTCATCTTAATTGCACGCAGGTTCGCTGATAATGGAATCGGCCTGACTCTCGCCAGGTAAACCCGCTAATCACCATTTTCCCTTTATTCTATTATTTTCTTTGCACACATTTCAGCAGTCTAAAAATGAAATGTGTTCATATTTGCTGAATTCATTATAGCGCAGGGCGTAGTGCCTGTAATTGGAAAATGCCTTATATGGGCGGCTTCTTAAGATGCAGGGAAGGAGTCAGGGCTTTTGTGGGAATGTGAAAGTAATTTATTGGTGAGAACGCAGCAGAGATGTGGTGTATATTCTCAAAAGGTGTGGATTCGCACGCTGGTTTTCTCACTTTGTGCTTCTTTGTTCGTGCGCAGTGGAGGAACCTTCCCGGATGACGACGGCTCACGTCAGGAGGTGAAGAACTCTCTGTTTGTGGGAGAGAGCGGGAACAGAGGGATGCCCGACTTGAATGATCAATCCTGGGGTCCGGGCGGCCCCGATCATCTCGGCAGGTCTCTGCCCAGAGGAGTGTGAGTGTCATGAGCATCAGTTTACCATTTATCTTGTTTTTGCACTTGAAAACACTATTTAAAGTGTTGTGAATGGTGTGGAAGTGTGCACCAAGGATTCCAGGAAGACATTTGCTCGTTTCTGTAGCCTTGCAAAGAGAAAAAATCACTCCGACCTTGGTTTTGACTTTGACCTATTAATGCCCACATTTTTTCCCAGAAACGTCTTAAAGATGCTGTAAGCCATTTTTTTGTGGAATGGCACTCCGAAAATATGCCCATTTTCTGACAGATATCACTGAATTAGCTGTCCTGAGATATCACTGCTGTCCTAGAGCTGGTGAACTGAAAGAACTGTTTTTAAAACACTGAAAGAAATCATTACAAATGACAAAACAGTGATAGAGCCTTCAGCTACTTGTTGCCTGTAGGCTTAAGTGGGTTGTCAGTATGAATCTGCATTTGCAACCAATTTACTTCTGTTAATATATGCGCATATATGGCATTTATATGCGACAAGATAATCAAAGTTTAAAAATGTTGGGTAGGGCTTGATTTTATCCATCAGGAATCGATTGGATCAAGACATTGTAATGTCAGTCAAAAAGGAAAAAAGTGCTGCTTTTTTTTCCCGCTGAAATAAGACCATGCATATTTATTAAAGGAATAGTTCACCTAAAAATGTAAATGAAATGCTGAAAGTTTCTTCACTGTCAATCCATCCAAGATGTAGATGAATTTGTTTATTCACCAGAACAGATTTGAAGAAATTTATAATTGCATCACTTGCTCACCAATGGATCATCTGCAGTGAATGGGTGCCGTCAGAATGAGAGTCCAAACAACTGATAAAAACATCATAATAATCCACACCGCTCCAGTCCATCAGTTAACATCCTGTGAAGCAAAATACTGTGCTCCTGTAAGAAAAATTATTAAAATGTTTTGCACTTTAATGGCTAAAATACAAGTCTTCTATCCATAATATTGCTTTTTCCAGTGAAAAAGTCATCTCATCTGAATCAGGAGAGAAATATGCACAGATCAAGCACTGTTTACGAGCGAAAACAGTCCGAAGCAGTTCATTAACAAATATGTCATTGGATTGTGATGTGAGAGGACAACAGGAGATGGACTTGGAGGAAGGAGGAAGCATTATTATGGACTCATATTTTAAACAGAAGCAATGGTTTGAAATTAAAATGCATTAATGGTGGATTTGGTTCTTACAAACATTGTTTTTCACTTCACAAGATGTCAGTTGATGGACTGGAGTGGTGTGGATTGCTTGTGGATTATTGTGATGTTTTTATCAGCTGTTTGGACTCTCATTCTGACGGCACCCATTCACTGCAGAGGATCCATTGCTGAGCAAGTGATGTAATGCTACATTTCTCCAAATCTGTTCTGATGACCAAACAAACTCATCTACATTTTGGATGGGCTGAGGGTGAGTAAATGTTCATTTCTGAGTGAACTATTCCTTTAAGAAAGTCAATTTTGACTTCATGTTGACTGAAGGTGAAGTGTGTAGTTTCTGTAACACCTGCAGTAAACTAAATAGCGAAAATAAATATAGGTGCAAGCCACAATTAGTGGAATCCAGCCGGTAGAGGAAACTGCTGCAAAGATGAAATATGCTTAGTGAGTTTTGTGTTTACAATTGGGAAGAAATCAATCCAAAGTTTCAGCTTTTACTTTGTTTTCTCTGACATCTCAGAGCAATTTATCTCTAGACTCCTTTATACCTGACAGGGCTCGAGGATTTAATGTGCTTGACTTTCATCTGTAATGTTGCAGCTCAGCACCTGTCACTTTATATTCTTCTGCTCCTATAGAAAATGCTGGATTTTGCATGGATGTGTACGAAAATTGAATGATAAAACACTTTTACCACCATCTTTATTGCACCCATGAGAGTCAAATTGAAAAAAATCTCTCCCCTTTTCTCTTAAAAGTGTCAGGTGCCTTCTTTAAACTTCAGGCATTATTCTTTTAGATTGTGGAAAAGAGCTTTAATTTGACAGTTCAACTGTCACTCTCATTTGAATTGTTCTGTTAAAAGAACAGTTGTTTGTAAAAAGGATAAGCCACATTTTAAAGGTGAAGTGGCAGCAAACAGAATTGCAAAGACAATTGATTCAAACAAAATTGCAAATTTGTGCTAGTTGTGATTTATAAATTCACTACCTTTAACATTATTGTCAGATGCATTGACAATCTTTCACTGTAATGTCTACACTCAGAAAAATACCAATTATGCAAACTTATACTGGCTATCCAAAGATGCCATATAAAAAAATCTCCATCTGATAAGCAGTTGATGAGAAGAAAAATAATGATAACACAACTTACAGGGCGAAACTTATGGGTCCTTTGGGAAAATGTATCACTCATGAGAAGGACTGTGAAATTTTAAGCTCAGGCAGGGCAGTGGATGTTTGAAATATTGAAAATTTAACCGCTAGTTGCTAGGCGACCATACATCCATCCATCCCAAAATGAACGAAAATGCAATTAACCCCAGACCTTTCATGCATGCCAAGTTTGGCGAATTTCCACCACTGGGACAGAAAGTTATAGCTGTTCAAAATGAGGAAGAAAATAATAAGAAGAGCAGTACGCTTTATTCCTTATGGCTCTTTCCAAACCCACAGAGGTCATACGTTAGTCTTTTTTAAATAATGATAATAATAATAATTATAATAAAAGTAAAAAGTTATCTCAACCATGTCAAGGTTTTCTTCCCAAGACAAGGCAAAAAGTAATAATGTATGAATGCTTAGGTCATTATTTTGTTATTCAATTTGGGGTTATTGTCGTTAACTAAAGCTATTAAAAACATTTTGTTCATTGAAATAAAGCTGACATATAAATATAAATATTACATGAAAAACTAAAAAATTAGAAAGTTTGCATTGGCAGCGAACTGAAATAATTTTAAGTTGAATCACTAAAATTACTAACTGGAAATAAATATAAACTAACTAAAACTATAATGAAAATAAATTGAACCGAAAGAGTAATATTTAAAAAAATGAATAAAAATGACAAAAGCATAAAAATTACAAAAAAATGAACTATAATTACAACTGATAATATAAAAATAAAAGCTAATTCAAAATGGTAAGAATAATAATAACAATAACAACATTAAAAAGCTATATCAATCACGTTATCACAAGATTTTTTTTTTCTCAAGGCAAGGCAAAACAATTATATTTTATGAATGCTTATAAGTCAATATTTTTGTTATTCAATTCAGTGTTATTGTCATTAAAGCAAAACTATTCATTGTTTTTTATATACAGTTTTTTTTTTTTTAGTTGAGATAAAGCTGAAAAAAATCAAATATAAATATTATATGAAAAACTAAACAACAATTATAATGTTTGCATTGGAAACTCAATAAAATAAGTTTAGGTTGAATCACTAAAATTACTATCTAGAGATAAAAATAAACTACAACTTAACTAAAACAAAAACTAAAATAAAAATAAAAGAATGATTTTATTTAAAATAAATAAATAACAAAAGTATATAATAAAACGACTAAAATTATTAGAGGCTAATTCACACATTCACATTAATAAACTCTAGCATATACATAATAATAAAATGACCTTTTTTCATTTAGTTCATCTAGTTTCTCAGTTTTTTTTCTTTTTTTTTTTCTCAGTTCATATTTTAAACTCTCCACTGTTCATTGCATTACATGAACAACTGTCCCATCATCATTTGATGAGTGTAAACCAGTTCACGGATGTCACTGCCGTCTGCCCTGCAGGGACTTCCCCATTCGTGGAATGCAAATCTACGACGGGCCGATCAACATCCAGAACTGCACTTTCCGCAAATTCATCGCTCTCGACGGGCGACACACCAGCGCTTTTGGCTTCCGCCTGAACAACTCGTGGCAGAGCTGCCCGAACAACAACGTCACCGACATCACCTTCGATGACGTGCCGGTAAGCGCCGGCCCTCGAGCGATGTCCACTATCATCCAGACCTCTGTGCTCCTGTGTCAGCGCTCTTTGTGCTGCTTAATAACAGTGGATGTGGTCACTGTCTCTGAGCTATTCCAGGAACTCTGATTGATTTTGTGCAGGATGTCAAAGAGGATTATAACATTTTAGAGCGTCTTCTCGCTGACAGAGGTTGTCCTTCCTCTGGTTATAATCATCTCTCTCCCACCCTCCTGTCACTTCCAATAGTCAGATATGAGGCTTCATTGGCTGCAAAGTCTAGAGCAGAAATCTGATTAGGATTGTGTGGCAGTGCATAGTGTGCGACAGACAGTAGAGATATTGTGAGCATTGTTTATGAAGTATATATACAGGTGCATCTCAATAAATTAGAATGTCGTGGAAAAGTTCATTTATTTCAGTAATTCAACTCACTATAAGTAGACAGCATTGCTTTATGATATTTCCATGTGAAAACAACAAAGAAACATGAATACATGCATCCCAAACAAGTCAAGGCATAAAAGAACTAATATAAATGTAACAAATTGGAATTTTTGGTTTATGGTTGCTGAGCAGCATTGCATCTTCCTACAGTAATATAGAATTTAACAAAAGTGAACACACAGGTGTGAGAATTAGTAACAGTTTTAAACATGGCTCATCCAATCAGAATTTAGAGTCATAAATATTAATATTAAATATTAGTTTAATTTGACATTTTTTAAATTGTGTTTAATTAACCAGAATATCCAAATATGCAAATGGATATTTAATATACACTACTGTTAAAAAGTTACAATTTTTACAATTTTTTAAAGAAATTAATATTTTAATCAGCTGAATTAAACTGATCAAAAGTGACATTTATGTTTTAAAAGATTTCTATATTAAATAAATACTGAAAAATATTTTGGTTCATCAAATAATTCTGACAAAATGTTTTATTTTATTTATTTATTTATTGTTTTGTTTTGAACATCGATAATAATGAGAATTGTTTCTTAAGCAGCAAATCAGCATATCAGAATGATTTCTGAAGGATCATGTGACACTGAAGACTGGAGTAATGATGCTGAAAATTCAGATTTGCATCACAGAAATAAATTACATTTTAAAATATATTACAACACAATTCAGTCTTTTAAATTTTAATAATATTTCACAATTTGTTCCTGTACTTTTGATTAAATAAATGCAGCCTTGATGAGCATAAGAAACTTTCAAAAACATTAACAAAATCTTACTGACCCAAACTTTTAAATGGTATAGCAGGTGTGAATATATAAATAGATCATGCAAAATATTCTCAATTAAGATGTTTAAATATAGGTTAAGATTTGGAACCAAATTTGTTGGTCCAAATAAGAACAAAACTGTAACAAAATCTATTGGTTTTAAAAATACAGAAAACACATCAAAAAAAATTTCAGAGAACACAAACAAGCCATAAGTAATTCCCTGATTTCCCATGTTTGCCATTCCCTTGTCTCTAATCGTGGCTCTAGATTACTTCACGCGTGTTCTTTGGTGCACCGGGCCCCTGGTTCAACAAGATGGAGATGGATGGCGACAAGACAACCATTTTCCACGACATCGACGGCTCGGTGAGCGAATACCCGGGCGCTTTCCTAGTCAAAGAGGACAACTGGCTCCTGAGACACCCCGACTGCATTGACATCCCCGACTGGAGAGCTGCCATCTGCAGCGGGCACTACGCCCAGGTGAGTCCGACCCGCACCCTCCTGTTACTCCCAAAACATTCCCATGTCTGGAGGCAGCGGCCTTCGTTCGGCACACAAGCATCTACACGCAAACAGCAGCACCTTGTTCAGTTCATTCCAAGAACTCGTGTTTACTTTTTCCGACAAAGCCAGACACCTTGTTAGTCTTCTTTGAAAATCGTTTTCCGAGAGAAAGGCAATCAATCTGTCGAAGCTGTCAAACACTCAGTTTCACTTGCACTTAAATACCATGCAAATGCAAATATTCTGCCCCCCACCTCCAGATTTACGTCCAGACCCGAAACCCAGCCAGCCTGAACATGAAGATGGTGAAGGATGAGTATCCAGACAAGCCTCTGGAGCTGGTTGGTGCTCTGGGAAAGAGGAACCACTACCAGCAATTCCAGCCTGTGGTCATGCTGGGTAAAGGATACACCATGCACTGGGACCAAGCGGCTCCTGCCGAGGTCACCATCTGGCTCATCAACTTCAACAGGTCAGCGAGCGATCCACTGCACTGACTGTGTGCTGCAGTGAGCACGTGTTTTTGTAGGCCAACCCAGACGTTCACATTACCCTGGTTCCCTCGACGAAAACCCAATAGGATTTTCTCATTGGCTTTTTGATTACTGCTGAAAATAAGGTCTGTGACTGACAAAAGTTTATGGTTCTTACAGGTTTTGGTTTCACCAGAAGTAAAAAGCTATAGGCTATAAACAAACTATACCATGGTTGCATGACTTCAACATTACCAGTACTAAGCTTCTGACAACTCATGCAATCTTTATTAAAAAAAAAGTTTGAGTTTGAGATATACAGTCCTTAAATATCTTGGGCGTGTGTTCACCACACCACACCACACCACCACACAGCCCTTCAAAAACACACTGACTTCAGGACGATTGAACTGGTAGTGCTAAAATGCATCTCGTTTCCGGGTTTTGGCCTACAAAAATACATAATTTCTGCATCACACTATAGTCTTGATAGTTTTTACTTCACTCAGGTTCAAGCTTTTTTTGTTGTCAAAACTGAAATAAAGGTTTAATGATTTAAAGGGATAATTCACCCAAAAATTAAAATTCTGTCGTTAATTACACACCCTCATGTCGTTCCAAACCCGTAACCCTCCGTTCATCCTCAGAACACAAATTAAGATATTTTTGATGCATTCTGAGAGTTCTCTGATCCTCCCATAGACAGCAAGGGAACTTCCACGATCAACGTCCAGAAACATAGCAAGGAGATCGGTAAAATAATCCATGTGACATCAGGGGTTCAACCGTAATTTTACGAAGCTACGAGAATACTTTTTTTGTGCAAAAGAAAAAATTATTTTTATTCTTTTGCTCGTTCGTTATTCGTAGCTTCGTAAAATTACGGTTGAACCACTGACGTTACATGGATTATTTACCGATCTCCTTGCTACGTTTCTGGACCTTGATCGTGGTAATTACATTGCTGTCTATGGGAGGATCAGAGAGCTCTCAGAATGCATCAAAAATATCTTAATTGTGTTCCAAAGATGAACAGAGGTCTTACGGGTTTGGAACAGCATGAGGGTGAGTAATTAAATCAAGTCAAGTCAAGTCACCTTTGTTTATATAGCGCTTTTAACAATACAGATTGTGTCAAAGCAACTGAGATGAACAGAGGTCTTACGGGTTTAGAACGACATGAGGGTGAGTAATTAATGACAGAATTTTCATTTTTGGGTGAACTAACCCTTTAATAATTGATATTAATATAAATATTAAATAATTGATCTGTTGTCAACAAGAGAGCAGCTTTAGGGGCTCTCAGCAGTTTTCCATCAAAATAAAAAAGCTCTGTAGTTTTCTAAGACAATTATTAATGATTACTATTATTAATAATAACTATTAATAATAATTATTATTAAATACTTATTTTTATTTGTTTTGTACTGTTGCAATAGTAGTATATTTCTTTATTGATGTATTTTATTTGTATAATTTAAATAATAAAATAAAAATATTATTTGGCATAATTATTATTATTATAAATGCAGTCTATTTTTTCTTTATTTTATAATACTAGCGTATTATTGCAATAGTAATACATTTCTTTATAGATTTTTTTCAAAATGCATAATTTTAAAAATAAAATAAAAAATATTATTTTTAATAATAATAACTAGCAGTAGTAGTAATAGTAGTATTGTACAGTCATACTGAATGTGAAAAAAGGTTGTCCTTCTATTTTGTCCTTAGCTGATCACATGTCCGTTTCTTCTATAACAGCCCTCTATGGATAGACAGCTGTAAGGAATTTGGGGGCGGGGTGTTCTGTTTGTCCAACCAATGGAAGATTAGAGGAGTGCTTAGAACACCAGCCAATATTTTTGTGTCATCTGAATATGTATATGAGGCCTTTGGGTGTAGATGCAGCCTAATAGACCTATCGCTGTGTCATTAATTATAATCAAACCACAATATTAACAGCAAATCATGGAAATTACTCACTGCTCTTGGCTGGATAACTTAAGTAGCTGTAATGAGCTCACAAGGATCAAATGTGAACACTAATTTAGGCCAAAAAAACTGTACAGCTGTATTTAATTAAAAATCTGCTTGTCAGTAAAACTCCAACATAATCACTATTAATGTATCATATTATGACAGTAATTAATGTATATCATTCTGAATGTGATTGCTTCATTATTAGTTTCATTTCTGAATGTTTACTTGAATATTTTAAGCACTGTTTACTTCATTTGTCTCTTAGTGTTGTAATTAGTTTCTTTGTACTTAGTTTAATTACAGACTGTTTATTTGTCTTGAATAATTACTTGTAAAACATAAGCCAATTTTTACTTAATTAAGAAACAGATAAGAGCTGCATGCTGTTGTTTCTTTAATTTTCTTTGTTGATATTTATATTAATATTTTACTTTTTAAACAAAGGATAATCCAGTGCTTCATGAAAAGCTGCCAGCATAAAAAAACATTACACATAATGCACACTTTTATGTCAATCCCAGATTAAAATAGCAACATTCATAACAAAGATTATCAATTATATTTAATAAAATGCACAGCATCTTGCTTTCTAACTTATCCAGATCCTCTGAACCAGGACTATTGCTCCCCCTAGTGACTGATGCTAATACTAATACGCAAGTCTGTCAGTCTCCAGTTAGCATGCTTTACTCATACAGCAGTGTTGTTGCTTCTTTTCCAGAAAGGACTGGATAAACATGGGCATCTGCTACCCTAAAGGCACTGAATTCACCATAATCTCCGACATCCACAACCGCCTCACCAAAGAGACGAGGAAGACCGCGGTGTTCATGAGGACCACTCAGAGAGAAAAGATGGGCCACTCTCACCAGACGAGAGGATATTACTACTGGGAGGAGGACACTGGGTAATAGCAGATGTGTCTCCGCATGGACAGATAACAGCTGGCTTCATATAGTCCCTGTGTGACACTATCTGTCTGCAGCTGCTGCTGTGGTGCTAGTGAATGTAGAAAGATATCAAACCAAATAGAAATGGCCTGTTTTATTGATAAGAGTAGTTGAGAGAAGACAGGAACTGATGCAGAGAAGTGTGCAAACAGGATCAGGAAAAGACGACCCAGAGTCAGTGGTGGTGCATGTGTACTAAATACTACAGTAGTTCACCAAATGCAATACTAATTGTTTCAATCGGTATACAAATAATCAATTTAGTTAACCCGTTTTAAACTCCTAGTGGCTCCCAGCTTGTATTAATATATTATAATGTATTGTAATAATATAATCTTTTTTTACTTTTAATATATAATTGCAATTTATATTAATATTAATATTTATATAAATATTTAATTTTACTTGGACTATGTATATATATATATATGTATATTCAAATGAAATAAAGTCTAAGCTGAAAGCAGCAGCCATTACATTTATTAATAAAAAAATTATTTTTAACATAATAAATGTCTTTTTGTCAGAATCACATGTCTGTGCTGAATAAAAGAGAATTCTTAAAATAAATAAAAAACATGGTTGAAATTTTGAGTCATGGTTACCACAAAAATATTTTGCAATCACGAGAATAAATTACATTGCAAAATATATTAAAATAGAAAGCAGTTCTTTAATAATATTTCACAATATTTATATATTACTGTGTGTGTGTCCAGATGTGTGTATGTATATATATATAATATATATATAGTTTTTGTAATTAGTAGTTTTTGTAATTTTTTGCAAATCTCTTGCACAAAAAAAACTTAAATCAAATATGCAATCATTCAATAATAAAAAACAACTTTACCCCACACTTTATGGACATAATATTACATTTTATGTGTTTTAATAGATGCTTTTATCAGTTTGAATGTTTTGCTCATGGGTGATATTTTGCTTGTTGAACTTTGGTGATCATTTTATTTGACCATAAAAAGAGTGTGAATGATTTTACTGTTGCCAAATGTCCCATCTGGCGTTATTTTTTAAATGAATGACCCATAAAAAAGTTATTAATTTTACTAATAAACGGGTGCATGTGTGAAAACTAATAAAGTTTTAAAATATAAACACACAGAACTGGTAAAATCCATGTTGAATGAAATATGTTTACAGCATTAAAGGAAATGGACGGTAAATATATTCAATTAAACACGTGTTTTTTTTCTACCGCCTGGCCTAATGGAAAGTCATACTGAGCAAAGTAGCAGTTATTATAAGACATCTGTGTTTTGATAGAGGATGAAAAAATAGCTGTTCTTAATTTAGCTATGTCAGTCTTCCTTTGCTAATGAAACATAATTAAATTGTAGGAATGAGGAATATCACTCGATTGGAACTGCTGAGAAACTACCCAGGAGTCTGGATGCTAAACGCTGCAGTTTTGTCAATTATAAGTTTTGATGTGGTTTTTAAAGTGTCACAGCTTCCAAACTTGTCTCTGCCGTCTGTGTGCTGATCTCTGTGTTTCTCTCTCTCTGATGTCTGTCTGCTGTCTTCCCCGCAGGCTGCTCTTCCTTCAAATCAAAGCGCACAATGAGAAGGAAGACTTAGCGTTCTGCTCGGTGAAGGGCTGTGAAAGAGTGAAGATCAAAGCGCTGATTCCCCCCGGCAGCGGCCCCAGTGACTGCATGGCTGAAGCCTACCCCAGATACACCGAGATGCCCGTCGTAGATGTGCCTATGCCCAAAAAACTGCCTCGCTCCAAACTGGTGAGGAGACACTTTTGACTTTACAGAGCATCTGTGTTTGAAGTCTAGCGTGATGCTGCGGGCCCGATGTGGGACGTTCCTGCTGGATTCCTGCGACTTGCCTGATGCTCTGAAGATGATGTATAAAGAAACATAATAGCAGTGCTTTTGTTAGTCTTGCAGGTATTTGATTGTCTCCTGGCAATCGAATTGTGCAGGATAAATGATAATATGCAGCGTTAGCATTTGTTCGACAGGATAGTTAGTGTATTTTGCACACCTGTTTCTGTAAACTTTTGCTGGGAAGGGTCCTCTATTGTGATGGAGGAAACTGTTTTTGAATGTCAATACCCACATAAATATAAATATATATGAATTATAATATACAGTATATATAAAATATTATAATGATTTATATTATTGATATATATTTCTACATTTTATATGTGTGTGTTAAAAAAAATAGTGGCTCAACCAAAATGAGTATTATTATTATTGTATAAAAAAAGACATACAATACAATTTATATATTATACATTTACAATTTACATTTAATTACATTTTAATATTTTTTTTATAAATTCTATATAAAATATATTTATTTTTTTTAATTGTGTTTTATCCATTGTCGATAGGGTTAAAGTTGAAAATGAAAGGAAAGCTAACGCTTATTCAGCCAAGCGGAGGAAGCATATTAGTCTGTCACTCATATATATACACAGTTCAATCATGAAACTCTAGATGGCGCATTCTGACGGGGTGTTAACGTAACTGATGATATTCAGAGAGTTAAACAACTTGGCACAAGCTGATTGGTTCATGCTGCATATGCAGCCAATGAGCTTACTGCCTTGCATTTATATGGTTGGCTAGCATTCACTTGAGATTCCTGCAGCGCGCTTTCAGAGTTCTCTGAAACCCTCCACCTTCCCCAGCTCCACCTGTATAGATCTGCTATGGGTTATTTTATATGCTATTTGTGCAGCAGCAGTATGTCTTGAATACTCACGGCACCGTATCGCCATATGCACTGGCAGTAGCAAGTTCCTGTACTTGCTTGCAGCAGCAGCAATAATCTACAACTACAACAATAACCAACAGCACATTAACTGCATCTCCCTGTGTGCCTGCATGTTCATATGATGTTATTTCACCTATTGGCGCAGTTTGAGTTTCCTCACAAGTTTAAGTGCCATTAGTTTAACCACAGTGACACTTCAAGTGTATATATGTTCAGGTATTATGGTGTATGCAAGTTGTAAGTGCAAACATCTTGTAAGCAGATATTATTAAATGTTATATTATTGTAATCTCAAATGTTCTTGTTTCCTTTACAGCCTCACACACCGGAGCACTTCCTTGAAGTCAAACTGGAGTCATATAACACACGCTTCTTCCACATCAAAGAGGACTTCGCCTATACTGAGGTACAAACTTTTAGTAATGTGTCATGAATAATGAGTTTTACAAAGAACTGAGTAAAATCAGTTCTCATTCACTAGTTAGCCTGCCTAAGCCTAAAGTGGTTTGCTGATGTTTAGCTGGTTTAATCTAGGTCTAGCTTATCTCCCATTCTGGCCTTTATATTATATTATATTATATTATATTATATTATATTATATTATATTATATTAATTATATTATATTATATTATATTTATATTATATTATATTAATTATATTATATTATATTATATTGTATTGTATTATATTATATTATATTGTATTGTATTGTATTATATTTTATTATATTTTATACTTGTAATTTAACTGAATAGTGATGATGTCATTATGACTTTTTTTTTCTTGGTTTTTTTTAAATATATTTTTATTTATGTAAAGAGGGATGGGGACAGACCAAGTAAGATATTGAAAGAAAAAAATAAAACAAATGAAAATAAAGTTACTGTTTCTGTAGGTGTATGGAAAGAAGATCTACCAATCAGAGGATGGCATTCATCTGACTGTAATCGACGGCCACAGCGGTAAAATCCTGGAGTCGAAAGGCTTCAGGAACTCAATCCTGATGGGAATTCCAGCTCAGCTAGAGAACTACATTACCAACCTCAAAGACGAGTAAGCCTAATACAAAATATATGCATGAATAGTTTACATCCATGCAAAATCAAATGCACATGCAATGAAATGTTCTATTCTGATTCCTAGGGGTTTTATTCAGCAGGGATGCATTCAATTCATCAAAAGCAAACTGATAATAATAAATGTTTCTTGAGCAGCAAATCAGCATATTAGAATGATTTCTGAAGGATCATGTGCCTCTGAAGACTGGAGTAATGATGCTGAAAATTCAGCTTTGATCACAGGAATAAATTATGTTCTACAATATATTAAAATAGAAAACATTTATTTTAAATTGTAATATTTGTGGGGGTTTTTTCAGCATTTGTTTCAGCCTTAGTAAGCACCCCAAATGTTTGAGCTGTAAGATTAATAGAAAAATATATGTATGAATCTTCAGTTTACGTGCATACAGAAGGAAATGCACATGAAATTAAATGTTTTACTTCTTAAAATGTACTATTCTGTGGCATTGAAACCATTGTTTATTCTGTAAATTAAACCAAAGCAAAGTTTTTAACAGGTCAAAAATGATCTTTTTTGTTTCAGCTTTTAAAAAGCTTTTTTTTTTTTTTTTTAGATTTACAGCATCTCATTATCAGCTACGCATGAAGCCATCTGAGATGTTTCACTTCCTGTAGCGCTTCGATGTAGAGAATTATGTGTTGAATTCGAGTGGATCACACAGGCTTTGTGCGACACGCGGCGCTTTCCAAATTGGTCTGTGCTGTGAAGTGGGCCGTGCAGATATTTGATCCGTTCTGCACGGTTAAGTTGGGTAGCGCCGCTCTGACACTGCTGGAAAAAAACTTTTTATTGAAAAAATGTTAATAAAAATATTTTATTTTTTAATAAAAAAATGTAAAAAATTTTGAAAACATTTGTATAATTTAAAAAAGCAAAAAACAAAAAAACACTAGTTTTCTATTTTTACTATGCTATCTACTTGTTTTTCTTTGTGTGTGTGTGTGTGTGTGTACTGGTTTATATATCCTGGTGGGGACTTAAACCTGAATACACACAGACTCATGGGGACTCGTTGGAGTGTTTGGATTCTCACACAAAAGCAGCGGACGGGAGATAATCACACAGTCATATCGGGAGAAACAAATTGCATGTTAACATATGCATCAGTGGCCTTGAAATTTAGCTTGGGTGGCCACTGAAAAATGGCCAACTAAACTACAATTTCACAAGTTTTATGTAGGTGAAGTAAAACAAAGTGAAGCTTGATTTCAGGGGCGTTGAATTTTTACTTAGATTTACTTGTTCTATGAATGATTTTCATATGTGTTTCTCTATTTTTAACTGCTGTGTCTGATAGAAACGCATTTTCTGCACTTGCAGGTCAGTGGTTTTGATCACCTCTAAAGGGAAACTGATCACCAGAGGGCCATGGACTAAAATTCTCGATACCCTCGGAGCAGACCAGACGGTGAAGTTGAAAGGTAACGAGTTTCACTCATAATAATTCAGGATTGTGATAGACGTCTCACATTATCAGTACCTAATGGAATTTATATTATTTATAGGTTTGAAACAAATGTGCATACTAGGAAGCAAAATAGATCTTAATGTCAAGTATGTAATGTATTTTGGTCTACCATACAAAAGTTTAGGGTCAGAAAGATTTTTGTTTTAAAAGAAATTAATACTTTTATTCATCAAGACTAAATTAAATTGATCAAAAGTGACAGTAAGGACATTTATTATGTTACAAACAATTTTTATTTCAAATGTAAAAATTCAGCTTTTTATCACAGGAATAAATTACAGTTTAAAATATATTCAAATACACAATAGCTCTTTAAAATTGTAATAATATTTCACATTTTTTTCCATTTTTACTGTATTTTTGAACAAATAAATGCAGCTTTGGTGAGCATAAGAGACAAAAACATTTAAAAAATGATTGAACCCAAACTTTTGAAGTGTAGTGTATCTGTACGTGTCTCAGATACTGATTCACACTTATTTTTAGCTATAGAGTTTCATCCCAATGGTATTTGGGATACTTTATGATAAATTACCACAAAATAAGACAGTGAAACCCCCAGACAATGAAAGAAAAAGATTTGAGTCATGTGAAGTGAAGCTGTTTTCTGGGCTGGACACACATATACATACCAGAGCAGCAGGGTCCTTCCTCTCGACCCTCCCTTCACATATTATATTTATCATGTTGAATTGTCATTCCAGCAGGCAAAGCCCCTTAAGTTTACATTCCAAGTGCTTCCCACCGGCTCGTTCCGTGAACAACACCAAATGTTTCACAGACCACCGACACATGACGAGTCTGTACTGAAACCTAAAGGAATAAAAATGAAAGCACTCCAACACAAGATTTTATGATACTGATCAACTTTATATTTTCCCGTTATTTCATGGCCTAAATAAATAAATAAATATTGATTTGAGATTATTATATGAATAAAAAGTGTTGAATGATATGGGAGACATGAAACTTGCACAGCTACACTACAGTTTCATACAATTTTTTGAAAGAAGTAAATAGTCATTTTCAGCAAGGATGCATTGAACTCTGAGAGTTGCGATATAAACTCGGAATAACAAGAAGTAAACTCGCAATTCTGAGAAAAAAGTCATTATTGCGAAATATAAACACTATCTGATATTCAGAGTTCTGCTTTTGCATCTCACAATTTTGCATTTATTTCTCGTATTTCTGTTTTTTTTTTCTCTCAGAATTCTGAGTTTACGTCTCAATATTATTTTTATTTTCGCCAAAGAATAATAAAGGTCATTGTGACTTGTCTCACAATTCTGATTTTTTCCCCCTTGCAATTCCGAGTTCATAACTGAGTTTATATCTCACAATTCTGATTTTTTTCCCCCCTTGCAATTCCGAGTGTCTCACAATTCTGATTTTTTTCCCCTTGCAATTCCGAGTTCATAACTGAGTTTATATCTCACAATTCTGATTTTTTTTCCCCCTTGCAATTCCGAGTTCATAACTGAGTTTATATCTCACAATTCTGATTTTTTTCCCCCCTTGCAATTCCGAGTTCATAACTGAGTTTATATCTCACAATTTTGAGGGAAAAAATGAATTGTAACATATAAACTCAGAATTGCGAGAAAAAAAAATCAGAATTGTGAGATGAAAAAGTTGCAACTTTTTAATTTTTTTTTATCCTGTGGCAGAAATAAGCTTCCATAGGCACTGAAGACTGGGAGTAATGATGCTGAAAATTCTGCTTTGATCACAGGAATAAATTACATTTTTAAATATATTCAAATAGAAAACAATTATTTTAAATTGTAATAATATTTCACAGTAATCCTGTTTTTACTGTATTTTTGATCGAATAAATGCAGCCTTGGTGAGCAGAAGAGACTTCTTTCAAAAACATTTTTAAAATCTTACCGACCCCAAACTTTTTTGTAGCGTATGTAGGAAATCTGTTGCCAGGGATGATGGTCATACAGATTAGCCTTATTATAAACAAATATGTAACCAAAGAATATCACGATTGACCAATCAGAATGAAGTATTCCAGAAAGCTGTTAAATAAGCACCATAACATCAAAGCCTGTATAATTAAGTAATTGACATTTTTTGCAGTTTGGCAAACGTTGATGCACATAAATTGGCCTTAACCTACATTTTTGTCATGAATGAGGTCATTAAAAATCATTTTGTGGTGTTTTTGTTTCCAGACAAACTCGCCTTTGTGGGCTTCAAAGGCTCCTTCCGGCCGGACTGGGTGAGGATGAGTGTTGATGAAGAGCGGGCCAAACTCCACCAAGTGCTGCCCATCCCTGTGATTAAGATGATGAAGCTATGAAGACGAGCGACACACGCCGCAGGACATCTCAATCTTGCAGTAGCAGCACTACTGGACGAGCCCAGCTACAGCCGCACGCCAGGACCAATCACAGCCCAGCATGTGTTTATGTTACCTAGCAACCCCTCCCAGCGGATTCCATTGTATGTGACAACGTGGACGTTGTGATTTTTGGATCGTGTCGTCAGTTGATTATACTTGTTTCGACGGGAGAAAAACAAGAAAAAAAAACTAATAACGATCGCGACATTCCTTGTTTTTGTCCCTCTCGGTGATGTTTGCCTTCGTGTTTCAACATGTTTTTTCTAAATATGTACAAAAACAGGTTTCAGATTGTAAATGTCATGAGGTTTTCCCATTTTAATTGTCACGCACAAGAGTTGGTTTCGTTTGTGTTGAACGAGAGAGCCAGCAAAAAAAAACAACAACAATCCGGCCTTAAAGGAACCGGTCACTCAAAAATGAAAATTTCACTCATTTATTTACACATCATGTCATTCGATGTAACAACAAACAAAATTTTCCAAGCATAACTTCTGAAAGCACCATACAAGTTCAAGACGCGTGAAAAAATATGGACACAATTCTCATTTTCCGGTGAACCGTTCCTTTAAATTTGAATAGTCAAGAATGGATTTGAATCTGAGCATTAGTAGATGTCAGTCTATCATAAAATGATCAAATCTGTGATGAATTGGCTTTTCTTCCATTTGGCAAGAAGTACGACATTGTCCCTTTGCCGAAATAGCTGGTCTTTTTTCGGAGATTGTAATTTGTTAGTGTTTTTGTATGTTTTGTGTGTTTCTAAAAAAAAAATCCTGATTGATAACAGAGATATATTTTATACTTATTTATTGTACAGGCACTATTACACAAATCCAGAAGGGACGTCTTTTAAGGGACTTTTAAGTTGTAATGTAATTCTGTCCTATCTGTAAAAACGAAAACTTTAAGTACAATTTTCACTTTAGTGTATAATTCAAATATACATGACATTAACTTTAAGTTGTATATGGATGTGATGTAAATGTGAATGATTTCCAAGTAATACAAATGTATTACTTTAGATAAGAAAAAAAATATAAAGACTTTTGTACAGAAATAAATCTTTTTTCCTCATATTGTTGGAGTTATACTTTGTTTCTGTGTGTATATATATATATATATATATTTATTTATACATGCACGTTTTTGGTGAACTTTCCTTTTTTATAGTTGGGTTCAAGTACAGGGGCCTCATTTATAAAGCGTGCGTACGCTCAGATTTGATCTTCGAGTGTGCGTGCGCTTAAATTTACGCCAACACTCATATTTGTAAAAACTCTTTTGCGTGGAAAAGTGCTTAGCGTCACGTCAGGGTCTGAGCAGACGTACGCACTTTTTCTTGTTTGAGACGAGTAGCTACTGCTGGTTTTTGGAAATGTAAGCTGTTCTTGCAGCTCGCTGTTCTAAATTAAAGGATTTGGACGAAGACTGGTAATCTTTTATATGTTAATGCCATTAATTAGGAGTCGTTTACAAGCAGAGAGCTGAAACCCTTCATTTGCGCGCAAGTTCAAGATCATTTGCGATTTATAGATTTCACATCTGAAAGAGACGCGTACATGCGTTTTCTGTACGTACGTTCATTTACCTGTACGCATATTTGAGAGATGATCGTAAGATCAATTTTAAGATGTTTTCTGCTCAACATTTTATAAATGAGGCCCCTGATTCCTATGGAAGTTTGTTTCCGCCACTGAATAAAAAAAATTAAAAAACAAGGAAATTGCAACTTTTTATCTCACAATTCTGATATTTTTCTCAGAATTGCGAGATATAAACTCGAAATTCTGAGAAATAAAGTCAAAATTGTGAGAAATAAACTCGCAATTGCAGGTTATAAAGTCAGAATTGTGAAACATAAATTTGCAATTGTAAGAAAATAGTCTCTTTTTTTATGGAAGCCCGTTTCCGCCACTGAATAATAATAATAAAAAAAGGTAATTGCGACTTTTTATCTCACAATTCTGACTTTTTTCCCTCAGAATTGCGTGATATAAACTCACAATTGTGAGCTATAAAGTCAGAATTGCGTGATATAAACTCGCAATTGCGAGTTAGTCCAATTTTGAGGGGGGGAAAAAAGACTGATATGTTCTCAGAATTGCGAGTTTATATCTCACAATTATGACTTTTTAACTCGCAATTGCGAGTTTATACCACGCAGTTCTGAGAAAAAAAGTCAGAATTGTAAGATAAAAAGTCGCAATTTCCTCTTTTATTTTTTATTCAGTGGCGGAAACGGGCTTCCATACTTTTTCCCCCTCAGAATTTAGCCTTTATAATTTGCAGCTGCGTGTTTATATCTCGCAATTCTGAGAAAAGTCAGAATTACGAGAGAAAAAAAGTCTGAATTGCACCATAAACTCGCAATTGCAAGAAAAAGTCAGAATTGCGAGACAAACTTATAATAAAATCTGTTTTTTGTAAAGAAACATTTAGTATTGAAACTACGCAATGGATTTTCCATTAGGGCTGTCTATTAGTTTGCCATTGATTGGACAAATGTGTCAATGATGATGATGAAAAACAAACGCCTGCAAGAATGGATGAATGTTTAATGGATGATTGCAAACAAAAAATCATTTTTTATTTCAATTAGATCACATTTATCATTCAGTAAAGTGCTGAAAAGCTCACAGATTTCCATGAGGTGTACTTACGTTTTCCCTGGTATCATGGCATATGGGGCTTCAGAAGAGAAAGGATGATCGATTACTCTATTAGCGCCTAATGTTGCTCTCTTTCAAACTGGGGCAATGACTCTGCCGCAAAGTCAGAATTACGAGAGAAAAAAAGTCTGAATTGCACCATAAACTCGCAATTGCAAGAAAAAGTCAGAATTGCGAGACAAACTTATAATTGCAAGTTCATATCTCACAATTCTGACTTTTTCTGACAATTCTTAACTTTTTCAGAATTTCGATATGTAAACTGGCAATTGCGAGAGAGAAAAAAAGTCAGAATTGTGTAATAAAAAGTCGCAATTACTTTTAAAAAATGTTTATTCAATGGCGGAAACGGGCTTCCATAGATTTCTATCATCACAAAGGCATTTAAAACATCACAAGAGTGATGCTGGATTGTGTCTTTCCTTTAGCAAACACTATAAAATAAGCTGATGTTGATTGATGGTATGTATCTGGTGTGTGTTGATGTTGGGGTGGGGGACCATGAGGAGTTTCTTCAGCAGACGGTTTGGAAATATGACCATGGAGGCCATACCGGACTAGGGTGGATACTGCATTCTGGACATACGTTCATGTACACTAAAGATCTGGACATGTTTGCACAGTAAAGCACCCTGAAGCGCTCTACGGTCACTGTGGAAGTGTTACTTCAGATGTGGGAAACTGCTCTGGCATTCTTGAATGTCATCATGAGTTGCTGGCTATGCTTTCTGGAGTATCAAATCTTCTTATTTGACCTAATTCAATGCAGAGCATCAGTTGTGTCCAAAGCAATTACGAATGCGGTCAATGCGGCTGCCTTGCTTTCTCACATGACAAATAGATGACACTCATATAAAAATGTTAATGGGAATGAGCTTTCTTCTGGAAGTAGAAGACAGAATAGCAAAAGCTCTTTATACATACAAGTTCTTATTCAGTAAATGTACTTATAAACAGTGTTGGGCAAGTTACTTCCAAAATGTAATACATTATATATTACTAGTTACTGTCTTTTGAAAGTAATTAGTTACATTACAATATTACTCTCTCTGAATTGTAATGCATTACACTACTTTTGAGTTACTTTTGAGTTACTTTCATCCAAAATATCCACATAAGTATTGTAAAATGCCAAAATGTAGTTTAATGCTGCTCATTCTACATCCAGTGGAGGGTAACGTGGTAGGTCTATATAGCATAAAATATATGAAATCATATTTAGATACCGGTATGTAGGTCTACATTAATGTTACGTTGTAGTTTAAGTTAAAAAATATAAGCACAAATCGCATTATTACATTCATAAATAACACTGGTAAATAAAGCGAAATATTATCATGTACAAACAATAAACACAACACCTAGCCTATAGGCAATTTTGAACGGTTTCAGAAGAAAACAAGAATGAAAAATATAAGTTGCTAAACAAACCAAAATGAATTAGGCTAATTCAATGCGAAACTGAAAGCAAACGGCGTTCTCGCGCAGCCTACCTCTCTCATTCGCCATTAATCCAATTAAATGTGTCCATATTTGCGATGTATTTGAATGCTAAACTATTATTTATTATGTAAACCAAGCTTACTTAACGCACTTAAAAAACATCCTCGTCACATGAGCAAATGTGTGTTTGGCCCGAGCTCAGGCTGATCGACACGGATTGTACTACGCAGTAGGCTACGCACTATTTAAATTAACCAGTGTATCTATATGTTTGGTTGACTATTTTATTCTGATAATGAACAGGCTACAACGTTTGCAATGCTGTATGTGTGTGCCTTACGTTTTCCCTGGTATCATGGCATATGGGGCTTCAGAAGAGAAAGGATGATCGATTACTCTATTAGCGCCTAATGTTGCTCTCTTTCAAACTGGGGCAATGACTCTGCCGCTGCTAAACTCATTTTCTTTTGCCAGAAGCTGTTTGACTGATTCCAGATCAGTTCTTTTCTGCCACATCCTCCAAATGCATTCCAGCATCCTTCAACAAGCTGTTATGTAAACCTTCAGATAAATCAGATATTCTCTATTGCTGTTGAGCCCAGACTGCTTGTGTACTAGCTTGTTGAATAAAAAAAAATGTCATTGGAAATTATAGAATGAAAGAAAATGTATGCAGCTGGGAAAGAAATGTCTAGACTAAGGGGTGTTGGGAACAAAATAAATCAAATAGCATTGTTTTAGGCTTTAAAAGAACAATTCGCCTAATAATTAAATTAGCTGAAAATGTTCTCACCCTCAGGCCATCCAAGATTTAAATGAGTTTGTTTCTTCATCAGAACAAATTGAGAAATTGTGCATTACATGATTTGCTCACCAATGTATCCTCTGCAGTGAATGGGTGCCGTCAGAATGAGAGTCCAAACAGCTGATAAAAACATCACAATAATCCACAAGTAATCCACACCACTCCAGTCCATCAGTTAATGTCTTGTGAAGAGAAAAGCTGCATGTTTATAAGTAACAAATCCATCAAGGTATTTTTAACTTTAACAGATAACATTGCTTTCTCCAGTTAAAAAGTCGTCTAATCTGAATCAGGAGAGAAATATGCACACATTAAGCAACGATTACAAGCAAAACAGTCCAAAATTGTTCTAAACAAATATGTGGGTGGATTTTGATGTGCAAGGACAACAGAGGATGGACTTTTTCACTGGAGGATGCAACATTTTGGACTCATATTTTTGGCCAGAAGCAACTTAAAGTTTAAGAAGGCTTAAGGTTTAGACACCTTAATGAAGGATTTGTTTCTTGCAAACACGCAGCATTTCGCTTCACGAGACTTTAATTGATGAACTGGAGTGGTGTGGATTATTGAGATGCTTTTTTTTTTAGCTTTTTGGACTCTGATTCTGATGGCACCCATTCACTGCAGACGATCCATTGGTGAGTACTGTTCAATTTCTCAAAATTTTTTCTGATGAAGAAACAAACTCTAAGAAATATACAAAAATGTCAATTTTGGATGGCCTGAGGGTGAGCGATTTTTCAGTATATTTTCATTTTTGGGTGAACCATTTCTTTAAGTGCTACACTTTTCTGCATTTGAAAATTTGACCATGAACACAGTTTGACACCAACTGCAAA